AGGCATTGTGTTGATTTCTATCCTTTTTTCATTTGTGTCCTATTTATATCCCTGACGGTCTCCAGCATTTTGTAATTTCTAGTTTTGGATGAAATAAAAATTTATTACTATGTGTTCTTCTTTGTGAGTTCAATGAAGATCTCTTGGTGAGATTCTTCACCCTCCTTCCGACTCTTAGAGGTTCGCCGGAGAAGACAGATTCTCTTTTGTTGAGTTCTAGTTCGTTGTGCTAACTTAATCTTGTGGAAATTCAACTAAAAGACATTTGAGGGTTGAGCTTAAATTCGTAGTTCGTCAAAATCTTCAGAAGACTGCCCTTCTCTATACCTTACCTATGCCCTTGCCGTCAGCTTGCTCCAAGCAACCCTAGGGCCGCCCGGCTCCCCCTTGACCTTCCCTCGCCTTTCCTATTTTCGTCCCCGGCCAGAAAAACAGCCACCACCGTGTCCCTGGCCAGCCCACCCGGCACAGGATTTCACGCCGCCTAACTCTAGCCGCCACCATTCCATACACGGTCCCCCGCCTTTTGGTTTTCCCCTTGCACATTTGAATTTTCCTATTATTACGCTACTTAATTGAGCCAATTATTTGGGGGATTAATTAAGGGAGTTACTACTCTTTTGAAATTTCAAATTACCCTCCTATTTTATTTAATAATTAGGAGTACATGTAGACAATAAAATCTGCAACAATTAAAAATCAGATTTTTGATTTAATTACTATGTGGTCCCCCAGCCTACTTAGTCTCAAACAATCTCCCCTCCTGTACCTATCGTCCGGCCCTCCTCTTCCTCTCTCTATCCCTGATTTAATCTTCTTTTAAATCCACTTTTATATCTTCCCTTCCTTAGCTAATTTCAATTTCAAAATTTTCTGATAAATTGAAAATAAATATTCTCTACAACTAAAGGAAACCTCTGAATTGAAAATTCAGTTTTGTGTTCTCCCCCCATAGCCTCACCGTCCCAAAGTCTCCCTCCCCCCCCCTCCCTAATTAATCTGCTGATACTCCATGCATTCACAACCAGCGGCAGTCCTGCCCTCGTCCGTACACCATCTGGAGGCCCTAGATTGCTGTCTGATTAGGAAGTTGCTATTTGCATGTTTCTACATTCTTGCAATCTTGTATAGTTTTGATGATTTCCAAACTATTATTGTTTCTATATGTTGTTATCTCGCCTACACACATTTTTTGGAAGATTTGTTTTTGCTTTGTGTGTGACTAATTTATTTCAGGAAAATCGAACTCAGACTATTGAAGACCCTTAAATCAGATTCAGGGGCATGTGATACTTTGTGAATTTGAAGCTGTACTTTTTATTTGAATAAATTTGATGGGCCGCCAGTGATTATAATGATCGTGAAATAAACCTTTACACACACTTAAAGCCGAGATCTTGAAAATAGTTTTGGTACTGATTTCGTACGAGGACCACGACATTGTTAGTACGGACGACCTTCAGATCAGTTATTCTCTCCTTGTGAAGCGAGCAATGAACCACGGCACAGGAACGACACTGGAAAATTTTCTAAGGATATGATCTGTCCAGACGAAATCTATTTTTCGTCCTAGTTAGGTACGAGTTTCTCACTGTTAAAACGCCAATCTTCTCGTCCAGACGAAGTCCAGTTCGGTCCAGGCGGATGGAACCGGACTATGCATAGTTT